TGGTATCACCAGAGGGGAGTTTAAAAGGGAGCATTTGTTTCACTGCTGTAGGTGACAAAGTAGCAGAAAGAATCGCAACGGACAGGGAGGAAGTCTAAAAAGTTGAAAGTTGAATACATGAAATGAAAGGAGATGAAAAGAGGTCGAGATGGAAAACGACTAGAGTGAACAAAAGAAAAACCCGACTGATTAGTAAAGTATGGCTGAGTTCACGTGCCGTCTGGAACTGCTGTGTTATTTTTAATAGTTCAGCTGAAGTTGCTGCTTCGTAATCAGGAGTCTGTCTGTCTGTCTGACTGTCTGACTTGTCGTCCACTCTGGTTCATCTGGAAGTCTGCTGCTCTTTTCAGCATTAAAATTCATGTTGAATGAATGTTCCGAAAGGAAAGACTGGGAGCGTTTTAACATTTCTCGTCTCCGAATTAACGAATTCTCCAAATGTGGAAACGCACAAAACTTAACGTAGTTTTTGAGATTCTTCTAGAAATATCTGTGGTATTACTTAATAATGGAGGTACTAGTTCCACATGGACAGATTTCTTTTTTTTTTTGACATTTATTGCAATTAATCACCTGAGGGTGGCGCTTTTGCTCAGAGGCAACGTCTCTGTCATTGGTGTGGAACCCCAGGGTTCACCTCCTGGGTTAGATCGAGTCCCGGTTAGGACGGTTGGTACCTTCCAGTGGACTCACCACCCGCAGGAAGGTTGGTACGGTGCAGGGTGATTTGGGTGGCGGTCGTGGAGACTGCTGCCCCTGTGACCTGGTAAGCGGACGAAAATGGGTCCGATAAGTTTTCCAAATGTAGTTAGTTCAGAATGGGCTGCAAATGATGTGTTTCCTGCACACAGGTTTTGGAGGTGTACAGCTCTAAAAAGCAGTAAAACTCTGTGCAAGAGTACCTCCTTTGGTTCAGTGGACAATGACTGGTCTTCGAACCCAAATATATGACTTAATATGAAAAATATTGGAAAGCGACTTCAAAGATGAGATTACATTGGTGTGAATCAGTGACCAGAGGGTTCTTAGGTTTGTCTTTTAGCAGTATGACATTAACAAAGTGCTATACTTATCTGTGTAGTTACCAAAACCCTGTGTAGATAATGTTTCGATCACTAACATCCCTACAGGAAAGCGCGTGTTGACGTAGTTCTAATCCCTATAGGAAAGCGTGTGTTGACGTAGTTCTAATTATCTTCCACTATAGGAAAGCGCGTGTTGACGTAGTTCTAATTATCTTCCACAGCGAGCAGAACAGAGCGTGTAAAGACGGACGAGGCAACTTTTTTATGGTAGCTTTTCATTCCTATTAATTTGCGAGTGATTTCATGGAAACTAGAAACAAAAGCCTGAAGACTTTTTCCACTCAACTGTAAATTCCTGGGAACACCGGTGTGTGAGGAATAAAAACGTTCAGACGGTGATAGCTGCACGTACGAAACACGAAGAAGTGACCGGATCACGCGGCACCTCTGAAAACCTGCAGCTCTTTGAGGTTCAAATGTAAGATCTGAAAAATCCATAGTTGTTCAACCTCTATGTTCGACATTGTTTTGATCATCCGTCATTGTAATACTAGGTGTTGCCTGGTTACTGTCAGTTGAATTATATGGAGCGTATAAAGCAGCTGTTGATACCTGGCCAAAGCAAACAGGAGTAATGTGTTGAAATAATCGGCAGAACCTTTTCTACCTCGTGACTGACTGAAGCAATTTCACCTAATCTGAAAAACGGGTGAAATTAGTCATCTACGTTTAACCACCTCTGCTGAGGAGAAATCCCATTTGTGATGACTAAGTGTGTGTGCGTGTGTGTTATCAACAGAGCGTCTAGTGTGGCGTGAGCCAAATGTGTTTTACAGAGGAGTCGGTGAATTGTACTGCGGTCCATTCACACCAACTACACAAACTACGAGGACGTGGACGCTGGTGTTTCTGCATCAACGCTTCCATCCAGGATTTGCAACAGTTTTTCTGTCAGTAACGCAGTATTGGTTTTCTCTTGTGGGTGTTGGGTGAAGGTTGGTTTAATGATGGTCATTACACTGGCCTTGAGCTGAGGTGTAGTGTTTATTTGCTGGCAGGATCTCCACGTCCCCTGGTCTGTCTCTGCTACTTCAAGATCTTATACTGACTGACTCTGATTTATTGGCTCCCACCCTAACGCCTGGCAACAGTCCACCCCAGTGGCGGCATCCGATCAGACCGTAGCCTGGATGGCTAGGTCTGCTCGCTGGATGGATGATTGACTGTCTGGCTGTTAGACGTTGACGTTGTTTCTTTTCATTTCTCTCATGGTCTTTCTAAAGTATCAAAGACTTGAATAGGAACAGTCTAATGGTGGTCAAGATTCTGCCAAGTATTTTTTTTGTGTGTGTGTGTTGTTGACACCCACCGAATTAACTTGGCTTCGCTCGATCCAGTTCTGTTATAGAGACACATTTTGGATCCTGGACTAACTTGGCTGACGCTCAGTCCAAGACAGAATTATATTCAGTCATTCAAATTCCTTCCAGTTTAATGTCAATACCACCTCAGTGAACTGGACGCCATTCTCTATTTTATTCTCTACTTTAACGTAAGGTTTGTTTTGGTTTTCTGATGCAACATCTTCAGAACGAAGCACAGAATAAAGACTTCAGACACCTCAGAAAAAAAAGGGAAAAAAATATACTACAATTCACAACACTCCCCTGCAGGGGGTGCTATACAAAAATATTGCTATGCCAGAGGTTGCCTAATGTTTTTTTTTGCTGTGCACCGTCTTTGTAGATAGTCACCCCAACATCGATACATTAGATCTCCATCGTAAAGCTGGAAATTAGTCAAACATTTTCAGCTTCTTTTTTTTCTGCTACACATTAGAAATGCGTCTGGGGCCATGACTGAGTCGGCAGTTTTTTAAATAAAGGCCCCATGTGATACATATGGGCCATAGACCNNNNCAGCAGTAAGGTTGTCTTTTTGATTCCCAGTAATAATTAATGCTCTCTCTGTGTGTCGTTTGTTGTTTTTTTTTTGTAAGTACTTCAGTCCAAAAACATGCAGATTCGTCAAACTGAAGCCTCTAAATGGACATAGGTACGGGTGGTGGAGTGTGAATGGTTGATTCTCTTGAGACGTTGCCCTGTCCAGGGTGTATCCTGACTCCGCCCGGTTCCCAGCCGCCCATGAGCCCCTGAAAAGAATTCATCAGTAGTTTTACTACCATTTTTTTTTTTTTTTGCAGTAGTTTCAAACTTTACTACCATTTTTCTTTGCTTTGGTTTTGGGAACCATTTCAGGTCCTGATCATCAGCTCCTCTTTCAGTTTCCATTACAGGTTATTAACTTTCTGCATTTATCCGTTGCTTCACCGCTTGGTTGGGTGGAGCTATGAAAACTTGGATTATTTGTGATTCCTTAAAGACTTGTGGCCTGTCGATAACATCACGGCTGGATGTTGCCACACACGCAGTACGGCAGCGACTGGGCTTATTTATATACAGAGCTGTGCTTCATTGACTATTACCTCTACAGATGATGCAAACAGCCTTAGCTTTTCCAAGAACTATCCAAGGGGAAAGAAATGTTGGCGTTTATGAATTGTTTTTTCATGGAAAGAACAATAATCCAATATCTCCTGTGAGGTTTGTACTGGAGACTACAGTTTAAAGTAATGTAATATAGAACTTAATCTCCCGCTGTCTCTCGGGCCAGAAGAGTCATCACAACAAACACAGCCAAGTCCCTTCGTGGTTACACGGCCAACAACC